GACCTCTCACCCCCTCATGCTGCTTTGTGGCACAGCTGTCACTGCTGTAAGGTGTTACTCCTGGAGCTGGAGGAGCTGTTCATCATGGATGAATATTGGCCTTTTTTTTTTTTTTTTTCCCCTGTTCCTAAGTTATTGCCCAGACTTGTTCTTTGCAGATCTGGTGCGGTGGTGTGGGGTTTTTTTGTTTGTTTGTTTTTGTTTTTCCTGTGAATGTTTTATTGTTGGTAGTTTTGTATGGTCTTTGCTTCTGTTGTTTGCTTCCAGTGGCATGATTTGTCTGGTTTCTGCTCTCTGTTGGAATGGCTCGATTTGTAAACAGGAGGAGGAGAGACTGGATGCTCATGGTTCTATCAACTCTTGCCATCAACTGTCATGGACGCGCATTCGCATTGGTATTTACAAGGCTTCTGCTTTCCATAGATTTTTTTTTTTCCTTCAGCTAGATAATGCTCCTAGAGGCATCAGAAATAACTCACTAGAGACCTTGTGTGCTGCCCAAGCTTCTGTGGCTTTTGTTACACAGAATGTTCTCCACACTGTGAAGTACTCGCCTTGCCCGAGCCGTTGCCACGCTAGGATGTTTTATTACAATAAGTACGTACAATGGTCATTGCTGTAGATACGACTTTTTTTTGTTGTTGTTTCCAGTTTGTATAAATGCATAGACATGAATAACAGCAGAGGGCCCTTGGGCTACAGCCCTGTGTGTAACACAAAGGGGAAAGAAATGGAGTACGCTGCTGTGAATGGCATGACGTGTGATTTGGCTGAAGGAGCCCCTGAAGTGCACCCAAAGGGCCTGGGGTGGGTGCTAGTTTTTCCTCAGCAGTTTGAAAGGAAATTATTTCATACAGCAACAGGTTCACAACCTTTTTGCATTTTTTGGCAATGGGATAAAAAGATGATAATTCATGGGGCATGTAGTTTAGAAAGCGTGAAATGGTTAAAAAATGAGACTTGCTTTCAGGTATAATTAAGGTGTCATTAGTGCAGAATATGTTTTACAATTCCCAGTTAGGGTCTTATGAGAGATTTCAGGTCCTATATACACAATGCTAACAAAGCATCTAGACTCCTGCTTTTTCACTGAAGTGTGATCAAGTTCTGCTGCTTTTTTTTAATGAAGGAAAAAAAAAAAATCATCTCTGCCAGAAAGTAGATTTTTAAGATGTTGATCGTTAATTTTCAGCAAATAAGGGGCATTGACAACTGGAAACTGTAGCAATAATTAGTACAAAGAATTTTGGACCTCTGACACTGTGGCTGCCTCATGTTATTTTTTTATTCTCTGACAGAGTCTGTGTGCTTGCTCATTGTACAGCTTGGTCAGTAGAAGTTGTTTTAAAATGGTTTATGAAAATTATATTTATTAAACAAAACTTTCACTTCTAGCTGAGTCATTGTTTAATTATGTAAATACACCAGAGAAGAGCAATGCTTCCTGCTCCATGTGTTCAGGTCCAAGGTTGATGACACATTCCCAGCAGGTGCACACATACAGCACCTATATACATGTGTGCATGGGCACCTGCATGGGTCACAGACACTTGATCCCTGACCGGAGCAAGGAGAGCACCTATAGCCTCCCCTGGCTGCCTTCAGTGGCTGGAGAAAAGGCTACTGGCAAGGAAGAACCCTAATTTATACACATATACATATATACACACCCGTCTCCTCCTCCCACCCTCCTCCCACCCTCCCCGCCAAAGAAAACCCAGAGCCTGTTGGTGCCCGATGAATTCCAGCATGGGCAGCCATCCCATTTCTTTACCAGTAGCTGTGTCTCTACCTCTCCCCACATGTGGGTTACAGCCCTGCCAGCGTGCAGGCTCCTGGTGCCAAGCTGACTCCTTCTCATTCTGACTCCTTGCAAGTGTCTGTTGAACTGTTCAAGGGCTTGAAATTTTATGCTAAGAACACAGAATTGAGTTTAAAAGGCAAACACTTATAATTTCATGTAAAGCATTCAAATTACAATTAGACAGCTTGTGTTAAATGGAGTACTTGCAGACAAGTTACTGGAAGAACTTCCACAGGCAGGGAGGTAAGTTTTGTACCAGTTTAAATGCCCACACCTGAGTTTGAGTTACAGGTATCTGTTTAAACTGTCAAGAGCAAAACTCTTGGTGTTGTCAGTACTAAAGCAGCCAGCTAATATTACAAAGCTAAGGCCTATTTCTGATAGGTAAGATTATAATTTCACCAAGTATTTATTTAAAGGTGTGATCTACTCTTCCAGAGCTCAGAGGCACCACAGGTTTAAAAACCAACCCCAGTCAATGTACCATATTCAAATAAAATCTACAGAGACTTCTGGCACCATTATTTAAATAAAGTGTGAATGACAAAAGTTTATTAAATGCATTCTTAAAAAATATCTTTCTTAAATAAGGATTTCTCAGTACGGCTTTCATTGTAAAACAGTTTTGAAGCAAGTCATAAGTTACTTATTAACAGGATGCTCAATAACAAAAAAAGTCACTTATGTATGATAGTCTTCACTCATATTTAAACAAATGCACTGTGTGTGGTGTCTTCCTTCACATGCTAGGTAATGTCAATGCAGCAGGGCTGGAAAAGATCAGCTCCCTTCTGTACTTGCAAACATTTAGAGCAAGCAGTAGGCAAGGTGGCACAGCGGTTCCTAGATTTTTATTCCCCCCACCCCCACCCCAGACAAAAGACTTGCCAAGAAAGTGTATCATACTGATTTTTTTTCTCCCTGCTTAAAAGCACATTCTAGAAATAAGTCTTACAAATAATACACTGAAACAATGCATGAGAAGACTTAGTCATGGCAATTTCACTGGAGCTTTATTGCCTCTGTTGGTAATGAGAGGGATTGTAAGAAGTTACATTTGAACTTACAGAGATATGTAAATGATGGGTTTTTTTACTAAATATAATCTGCAGATTAAGTGTTTTATATCAGGGCACTTCTAATTTTGTACATATTGTATAAAAACAGGTTACAAACTTCATGTTCGCCTTCTTGGTTTTCTTGACATTTGGCAAAAATCAAATTGAGCCATTTAAGGGGAGATCATCAAATTGAAGACATAAGCACTTACGAATTAAAGCAATCCAAGTAAGCAACTGTCTGCATTCTTAAAAAAAAAAAAAAAAAAAGAAAACCCACACAAATATATAAAGGAAAACCAACATGGCCACATCTGAGCACGTTTCAATACAAAATATTCCCTGTAACCAGGCATTTTGTCCTTAGAACACCACCCTGTTAAATCAATGTTTCTTTCAACTTCAGTCACTCATTTTGAAAAACTTTTTAAGATGCCATCATAGCACAAATAACCCTTTTCTGCAACATAATTAGTCAAAGTTTTATGTATTTCTTTATAATTACACAGTAATTATAAGCCTGTAGTACCAAACTGATGACAACACTATTTTGTTGAAAGGATCTTGCATTCAAAAGGAATAGTCTTTTAAAACACCACGGCATTATGCCACTACCCAATCTCAGACTTTTTTGAGGGCCAAGTCTGTATCGGGATAAAAAGCCAGTCAGTTCTCCTCTCCAAACACAGCATACTTGAACCAATCAATCTGAAACTGTACCAAAACCCTCAAGACAGAAAACAGCACGCATAGATACCTTGTGAGCTTTTTTCCACCTCCCCCTCCCATAATTTCAAGTCCCCCGTTTCTATTTACACAAAATTGAGAAAGGAAATACTGAAAGCAGCAAAACACATTTTTTTGGCATAGCCAATTCCAGTAGCTGGAGACAGTTTACAATGTTGGTGTGGAACTGTAATCTTGAAATAAATGCACAACTGGAGTTTCTTAAAAGGGCACTGCTACAAGGGGCACAAGTCTTATGGTCAGCTTCAGAGAGTACAACTAAAAATCTGTAGCAGTTTAATAGTCAATTGTTTCTTAAAATACTTTCAGCATCCACATAGAAGTGTTCTGCTGTTTAGTGCAAGTACCAATTACTCATTTCAAAAATAACTCTGGCCTTATCATGGGACTATTCAGAGCATGGACTTAAACCTCTGTCCTTACTTGTAACTATAGGCTTTTCCTCTGGAGCTTGGTATTTTCCAGCTTGTTCTACAGCGTAGTATTTATCAGCTCTCTTCACAAGTAACTAAGTGAGGAGTAAAAGACCACGTTTAACACAAAAGCAGTGAGCTCTTGTAATATTAAAAATAAAGAAGAATCGCATCTGATAAAACGTGTTTTGAACAAAATGAACTTGATTTAGTTAAATGCAGTAAGACAATAAGAAGTAGTGATGATCAACAAAATAATTTAAGCAAACAACGCCAGTGTAGTATTTCATATCTGATCTGTGCTTGTTTGGGAAAGCTTTACTCTTTATTTCTATATTTGGCAACCAAAGTGATATGTCAATTTAAGGAAAACTCAACAAAATAATTAAAAAATGGGTGTCATCCATAATGGCAGTACCTCTATGTTATAAAGATTTAACTTACTTCTCAGGATAATGGTTTCAAAACCTAGATTCACATCAAACTCACCAGCTTCTTGTACAACAGGGCCATTTGTTTCGCCATACCTCAACCATAAAAATCACGTCTCAATTTAAAATACTGTATTGTGTAGCAAACATTTAAGACACAAATTCAGTATATTCAAGTTTTAGATTTCCACAGAAATGAAAAACCTTTCTTTGACAGACAGATAAGCATTTCAAAACTGTAATGAAATCTGATTTCTTAGATAATAACCTAGAGAATATAGATTCTATCATGACGCACACAGCTTATCTCAATGACGCTCACTGAAGGCTGACTATAACATTAAACACGGGTGCTTTAAGTGCACAGTAGTTGTGTCGTACTTCAACTGTTCTCACAATCAGTTGATGTACAATCAAACCATTCAGATAGGCACCTAGATACCCCAGTATCAACCACCTCGGGTTTTCTTGGTTATTTCTGTAATTGTTTTTATCAGATACTCAAACTCACTTAGACAATACCTGTACTTTTCCAGAAAAAGAAAAAAAAAAATCAGACCCGGTACACTTAAATATATCACTCTTACAGCAAGTGCTATCGATACAGTCTTTGCAACTAGCCCCAAGTGTATATTTAAGGATTCTTTTAAAAATTGTTTTGATGTTGATCTGTATAATTCAGATGCCATACAACAGTTGTCTGATGATGACCAGCATTGTGCTTTATGTGAAACCAGAAACCTCAAAATAATTATAAAGCTTCTAGGACTTATGGGAGATGAAACTAGAGTGGTCCACCAAAAAAAAGAAAAAATAATCCATGATGAAATCCACAATGTTGGAATTTTAACGGGCAAGAGTGGTCCAGACTAGAAGAAAAGCCCAAACCACCAGTAGAAGAATGAAATATGATATGGTCCAAGATGTATCCTTAAAGGTTTGTCTCAACCCTCAGCCATATTGTGAGGATTGATCTTCAGTTCAGTCCAGCCAGCAGAAATTGACTGTGCAATTTTCCATTTCAGGTATTTGTACAGACTATGTACACTCTAGAAGGGTCCTTTAGTGCTACACTGTCGTACTTTTTGTCCCAGCAATTTGAGGGCGTGCAAATTCCACAAAGTCATCAATAAGAACTGGCCATGCCCCTAAAAGAGAAAACAAAAAGACCAGAACGTAAGAACTCAGTTCAACAAGGCATTCTTTTCAAAGCTTCAGATATAAACCGGTTAGTTACTTTCCAGTCTTAACTAGGCATAGTTTCAAGCAAAAAATTGTAATTTTATTTTCTTGCTTGAAATTTAAGAGCTGCTTAAAGATTTCTGCTTCCTTTAAACCCAGTTAATAGTCATCTCTTTCAAGGGTCATACTTCCTTCATCTTCCTGAACAAAAAAAGAAAGGGAAAAAAAAGGCTGACAAAAATTCTAGCTTAAAACTATCCTGGTTTTGTCACCAAAACTTGATCTCCAGGATGGAAATAGCTGCTTAAAAACATTAGATGAAGCGGTCTATGCTGTAAGCAGCAGCTTATCTTAACATACTACAGCATTTACTGCTCACAGTTTGATTTTGCATGAATGCAATGCTCCTCTGTTCCAATCAGCATACTTGGCCAGCACAATACACTCTGATAGCCAGCAATACAGTGTAATGCCCTAGAGGGCTGGTATTTTATTTTTTTTTATATACACACACACACATGCACTCTTCTTCTGTATTCCTTAACAAGAGGTAGCTAAAATACCTATCAATATTTTACATATTATGGGCAGCCATATCCAACAAGGTCTCCAGTCACGTGCATGATGGTCATGTGAAGGTTAAACATAATTGTGGACTGTTGTGGGTTTTTCCCCCTCCATTAAAATATTTTTATTCCAAATCATTAAAACGTGTTTTCTGCCTTTAATCTTTCTGAACTACATTGCTTTCTTGTGGGCAGCAGCCCATTTGCTCAGTGATAAAGGATTGAGAACTGTCCATAATTATTAAATAAAGTTGTAGAAGTTTGCTCCCCTCTGCTCTGGGAGTATCAGAAGTTTGCAGTTTCCTCCACTCACTGAACTGATGTGCCACCAACAATTGTAGGTAATTAGCTGGCTGTTCTTGGCTACAGATGGACTGGAAGAGCAAAGATCAATACAAAAGTTTACAAGAAACACATCTGGCAGGATATAACTTATGTTTAGCAATCCCTGTATGCTGCCAGCTTCACTGTAATATTACTACATGTCCAATCTTCACATAAATGGAAGCAACCAAACTTAAAAATATTCTCAGCTAAGAAACGCAATAACTAGAGGGCCCTACGAAGAAATGCACAGGCCGAAAATCAGTTACTTAGTTGAAGATGCCAAGAACCGTGCTGACAGAGAATCTGTGGGTTTTAAATGGACAAATTTCAGGGTTTGTCTCAATAAGAAAGAATTAGTATTTGAGCTCGGACAGAAGAAAAAAAGAAAATGGATTTAAGAAAGTTTCAGAATTTCCTTTTTAAACCTGCAGTAACAAACAGATGATAACAGCATGCATTAAAGTAGCTCTACCTGAACTTTAGAGCACCAGTGATACTCTAATTATGCTGTTATTAGACAGCTGTGCCAAAGCAGATACACAGTAATAAATGTAGCATAAAACAGAAGTTAATGAAAGGAAATGGAAATGTTTACCTTCCTCATCATAGTTAGACATATCATCTGCTATCATTGTACTAAAGTCTAGAAGAAGGTTCCAGGTATCCTTAGGAATTGATCTTTTATGATGTTCCTGTTTGGAGGGGTGGAAAATTTACGTTTAAAAAAATAAATTGAAATACCCTGATACACATTCATTTTTACTGTCTTGGACACATCCATATCCCCAAAATGTATTTCTCTCGTACACACGATGATGTGCAGTATCTAAGCTCTGGGTCAAAATAGTCTATTTCATCTACTCAGTAATTTAAACATATTTATCTTCCAAGTTTTGAAAATACTGCGGTCCAGTTTATGTAAAGATTTAAACTTACCAACAAAAATTTGTTCCACAAGTCTAGAAATTTAAATCTTCCATTAAGTACTAAATTCCAGTAGGCAATGGCCATTTCTAAATCTGTAACATTAAAATATATTACTTTTAGAGATATACATTTCAAATATATCATCTCCACAGGTAGCTAACACTAAGAAGAACCATATATTCGTAAAGGTGAAAAGATTAATCTAATGCAAATATACTCGCGGATCCTTTACAAAAAGGCAACCGTATGTAAAGCGTTAGACAAATATTTTACAGATTTTGATACTATCACTTGAATATAGAAGAACTGAAAATTGCCCATATTAAAATCTAAAATATCCATAACAGTAAAAGGTATATGAAATATCCTTGTGTATCTTAACAATACTTTAGTTAAAGTTCAGTGAAATGTTTTGTCTTAGAAATGCTATTGACTTGAAAAGAAAATTTGTAGTATTTCGTAGTAAGATCTGCTTTATTTTTTTTTAATATATAAAATACAATTTACATGCTTTTTATGATTTCACTTTTAGAGCAACCTTGTTACAGGTGCTGACTTTGTAACAGCTTTTTTTCAAGTATTCATTTCTGCAATCAGATTTCTTTCTGAAAAAAATCTTTAAGTACTGCAAGCAGATGGTTTGTTAGTTGGTCTTTTTTGGTTAGGTTGAGGGGGTTTTTTGTTGGTGGTTTTTTTGCTTTTTTTTTGTTTTGTTCCACCCCCCCCCCCCCAAGACTCCTAGTAAGTTCTTGCTCGTTTTGAACCTGTTTCTCAGGATGACTGAGAAATATGAACTGATGCTGTTCAGGAACAAGAATGGAACACTGCCTGTCAGGTAACTGCGTGCTGCTGTCAGCAGCAGGTGCTGTCACAGCGTAGCAATTAGAAGAAGAGACTGGTTAGTCTAGCATGTGAGGGGAAAAAAAAACCCCACCCTCCTCTCCCTGGTATTTGCCAAAGGCTAAACTGACATGCATTTACTGTTTATTAGTGGCATACAGTAACGTGTTAGTTGATAAAAGAACGTTATGTATCTGAGCTCTAAATCTCTACCTAGTGTGATCTCCATTAGCAGGAATTAACAAGGACCTCTGTACTGTGTAACAAAATGCTCCTAACTGTGATCGTACCGAATACGGCATCCATCACCAAGTACGTACAGTAACCCCAACAGCCTACCTAGTTAAGTGACCTCTTTTTTAACAAAAGCTTTATATATTTTGCAGTCTAGCAATTTTCTTCCATAAACAATCCTCTTGTGAGAGCCCGGAGAAGAGGCACATGATCAACTGCACCTCAAGAAAAAAAGAAAAAGAAAAAACCCAACAACCCAAGAAAACTGCTCCCTTTCCTCAGATGCCCAAGCTATTTAAAAAAAAACAGGGAGGTGGATCTTAGAGGTGAAATCAATAGCAAACAAAAAGCACGAACTCAGCATTGCTGGAGGGAAAATAGGTGGTGTTGGGGGGAGTTTCTGAATTGTTTAGTATCTTTGATATTAAAACTTCTTCTCGAATAACATATTCACAGTATAATGTTTCCTGACCAGAGAATAAAATGTGGAGGATTTGCCATCAGCTGCAAGGGAAGGTGTGTGTGTCATTTCAGAAAAAGTACAAGTTTGAGTTTTGAGAAGCAAAGACAAAGTAAATAGAAGTCCCTACTCCTCAGTAAATAAGCTATATGTGAAAATGACAATTTATTAAAGAGTATAAAGGCTAGATATCTCTCTCTAACAGAAGATTCAGATACAAAAATAAGCACTTCAGCTTTCAACTACAACTACTGTCTTTCTAAAAATGGATACAAACTTCAGATTAAGCTGACCAGTTCCTCAAGGAAACAGATTAGAAAACTAATTTTTATTTACTTGTGATGCATTAATAGCAAGTATACAAAAATGCTAAGTCAAACTGCTGCATATTTATAGCGGTTTATAAACAAACACTATAAATAAACTGTGCATTTTGACATGCTTACACAATTTTGCGATTATTGTCGTAAGCAAAGGCCTTAAAAAAAAAAAAAAAAAGGATCTCAGGGTGCTGCAACCTCAAACTCATTATGTGAGTCCAAACATGTAAAGCACAAAGACATAACGCCTTAGGACAAACTATATGTTTTAGAAGAAATTTTGTGATTCATAAATTTGAGAGTAAAGATATAATTTTAGGTTTCTATAAGAAAGTGAAAGAATGCCCTGGAAAATCCTCATGAATCAAATATGAAAGTCTCAAAATATATGCTCAATTTTGAGTTTTTCTAGAGGGATGCAAGAGAAACAAACCTTTTGAGATGAACATCAGCTAAAAGGTATTCTCAAATGATATTTAAATATCACAAGAACTTTTAAAACATCCACAGTACTTACACTGCAATAAGGAATTATGCAGAGGAAACACGTTTCCAGAACTGTGCCTGCACTACTGCACAATGTTCAGAAGATTAGAGACCAATATACATTAAAATCAATTTGCAAGTTCCTACAAGCAGTTATTTAGACACTCCAAAATGAATTGCCTGACTAGGAGCACTTACTTTTCAGCACTGTACTTCTCCCAGTATTCTTTTGCTTCAGGGTTTCCAGAATTATTCTGCCCTATCATAAAATCATGCCTAGAACTGTGTATTTATTGGCACCAAAAAGGCTGGTAAGCGTCCAGATTTTAAGCTTAGTTCTACATCACTTCCAGACCCATAAAATAAAAATAAATAAATAATATCTGATACTATGTAGATGCAATATGGATCTGAGAAAACAACACTTGCCTTTGTCACTGTTACAGCTTAACCAGCATAAAGAAGCTTTAAGATTAATGAGAAATAAAGCAAGGGACTTAGTTTTCCTGGTGAATCACTTTTACTCAAGTCTGTTCCATATGGGACACTCAAAAGATTGATTTATATATAGGACTAGAAGAAAATAAGAGGTAAGTACTATATCAAACAGTTCTGCTCTTCTGAAGCTTTGAGAAAATATAATTTAAAATGATCATGTAATTATGATATCACTGTGATTTGTCATTTCACTGCAAAAAATGACTACACTCCTTGTTGTATAAAACTGTTTAAAGATTAAAAACAACACACAAATGTTACAACTATAAACACACACCCACCCACCCCCCAAACCCTATAACCATTCACACTGCAGAACTGATTCCACGCTCACACTGTCCATAACCTAACTTCTATTCTCTCACAATTCAGTTAATCTCCACATTTTCCTTGTGGTAGCAGCCTAAAAAAAAAAACAAACCACCCAACTAAAAACTTTCTACAAGAAATAAGAATTGGCCCATTCATTTGTTTGCAGGATTCATATCTGACTACATGCATGCACAAGTATTTTTAAACAGTTTAGCAGAGTTCTTTTAGCTCCTTCAAAGTCAATGAAACTCACAATCCAATTGAAAACAAAAACCAGGATATAGATAGGTGTTAAAGAATGACACAGAGTCGAAAAGACATGGAGCTTTTGCTTATTTACTTATTTTTCAATACTCATTTTAAGCAGAAGTTGTTCCACATATAAAAGTCAACAAAATCAAAGCAGAATGCTCATGTTTTCATAGCACATGAATGCAAAGCTGGTCAGTGGCCATCACTTCAAGGCATTTTCACTACTGAGAAAAACAGCTTCACAGGCTACCAAGATGAACTTACTGGCCTTTCAGTATTTTATTTCTTCTCAAAAGTAGAATAGTTAACAGAGTCATGAAATACTAGTTATAGCTAATATCTCAACTACACTGTATATAAATGAACATGCATTCAGGTTGGTTAACATTACTGCTTCAAAGAAATTTTTGTTCACTCATTTTTGCTGCTTTGAATAGACAGATCTACAGTTTGTTCATTTATTTCCATCAGAACTGTGGTGTTCTGTCTTGGTTTGGGGGTTTTTGTTTTTTTTTCAAAAAAAATAATTAATAAGCCATTCTTCCACTTCACCTGTTAGACTAATCAAAAGCACAATCAGCTGAAGAGCTCCAAAATAATGAAAACACATTCAGTGAACTGAGAGGAAAAACAAAAAACTCAACCAAACAAAAAAAGGCTGTAGGTAGGCACCTGTTACCAACGGCACAACCACCCCAGGAATCAAGCCCAGGATATACAAATCTATTTGTACTATTCCAGTTCTATTTTGCAAGATGTTTGCAAGCATTACAAGAAACTGTACAAGTGTACTTCCAGGGAAATCAGTTTTACAGCTTAAATTTATCCTACAAGTGAAAATTCAATTAATCTGTTCAGTGCTGCAAATTCTAAGTGGTATAATTATGCCTTTAATGTAAGACCATAATCCATTGTGCTTACTAAGAACTGCACACGCTCCTGGTGAAAGAATAAACCTCTCCTAACATTTTGTAGTCTATATTAACGATGCAGATCTTTCTATCAATTTCAACACCTTAAATTGATATCTATCCTTCACAACAGAGAGATGTATTTTATCCCAAGGGTGATTATCTTTCAGACTCATTGGATCACAATAATACTTTCACTTACTGCTTTCATCAGTCATTTCCCATATTTACAGACAAATGTTTATGATTAAGAATACATACCTAAACCTTTCTGTCCTGGATTCTTTGCAAAATTGAAAGTAAACTGATAAAAATCCTTAAATCTTCCCGGCTCTTTCAGTTCTTGCTCCATTTTAGGAATCTGGGCCTTCAGTTTTTCTATGCTGTCACATCTGCATTTTAAAAAGTATATTTGTGTATTATTCATTTTGTCATAAAATATGAGTTATAAAAAACAAAAATTTGTAAATTTTTTGTGGAATAGAATACTATTATCAAAACAAAATTCAGGAAGTCTTTAATTAGTTTGCACCTGCACAACAATTTCATTTCTTTGTTGTTATTTCTTCATGTTGCCATTTGCACATGCTAGCTGATACATCAGATTCTATAATCCACAAGATTTTTAGAAAAATGTGATAAAGACTACTACATTCTCATAAGGCAGAGAAAACCCAGATAAGCTAGACTGCAGACCGACATCTATGGCAACTGAAATACTCCCAACAACCAAGGCAAGGAGCACTCAAAGTTGCCTCCTTTTTTTCGGTCACTAAGCATCCAGCACATAGACAGATGCATTTTTACAGAGGCAGACAAGTGATGCTAGACTCCAAAAAACCTCTGAAGCCTGAAAGGACAATGTGATTGTGAATTCCCCAAAATAGGGCTGTTTCACTGTATGTTCCAGTTTCTGACACTGGATTACACTGTCAGTGTCTAACACTTACAGCACACTTACCCTAGCTCAGTCATTCCATCCATGAATTCCAGCTTTGAAAATTCACACTGTGTTGCAGCTCGGAATTTCCATGCAATGATGAGTACAGTAATGCTGGCTGGGTCAAGAGCTAGATCATCACAAAATTGCTGTATACCATCTATACCAATTTTATTTTCATCTTGAGGATCTTTGGAATATAAGAGTAAGTAGCAAGAAAAACAGATTTTTGAAAAAGCTGATTTATTCAATACCAGTATTTAAGACAAGCAAACATTTGCAAGAAGCCACGTTTGGGATAGTCCCTTATAAGCGATTATTTTAAAAACAAAATTAAATTACTATTTTCAATAGTTAAGCTTTAACAATTGAGGAAGTTACTACAATAAAGCCTCCCATACAATGAAGCTTATGTTATTTTCACTGAAAGACAAAAGCATCACAAACATTTGTTTTCTGCCTAATAATATGCATGATATTCTGACTCATTCCGTACAGAGAACGGTGGTCCTTTCCCACCAGCAGACTTAATTATTGGTATCTGTGGTAAGCTTGCCGATCTGTGTACCATTATAAACAATTCTGCAGCATTCATTTGCGAGCTGCACTGATACAATTATCAAATCTGCCCATGAACTATTAAGTCGACACATTTTATGCATTTTCTGGCATCACCACCACGCATGAGATTGGGCATGGTAATCTCCAAGAGGAAAGTTACACTGCCCCATTACCAATTACAAGTCAGCCAGGCACACTCCTCTTCACACAGGAACCAACATCTGGTCTGGAAGCAAGATGATCACATTTCAAGTGCACTAACAAAGATCTTCTAACGTAAGCCAACAAAGACTTCAGGAAAATGGTATTTGGATTATGCACACATATGAAAACTGACAGAAAATGCAGAACTCATTTTTAGATTTTTTAAAGTGCTAAAACACAGAATTTGTTCTACCGTACTGAATCCATTTTACTATTTGTGGTAGGATATCATTAGTTGAACACTAGCTATATAACAGATAAAGAGACTTTGTTTTCTTTTCCGCTCTGTTTGTATCTGATAATAATCACAAGGTGAATAAAAATTAAGGTAGAATCCATCCTTGGTATGCAACCTTTCACTTTGTCAGGAGCAAGTCCTGAGTGACATGCTCTCCCCAGAAGAATTACCTAAAATCCACGTTAACCATTACAGTTACTCACTGCACACACAATTCCAGTTCCAGACCCTAATCTTGTATAAACGTACATATATTTAGGGCACATAAAGCAACCGCATGTAATCCTTGTGAAGCAGAAGTCGACATATATTACCCTTCTAACTTGTATTAGTAATAGAAAAACAAAGCTGAAAGAGTTGGTTAAGATTTCCAAGCAATAATACATTTCAATTAATACCTACATACAATTAGGAAATAAGCCTTAAAACTCAGGGTACTCACCTTTGTATCTGTTATATAGTTGTTCTAACTTCTTTCTGTCCAATGATCCTTTAACACTCTCTCGTATATAAAGTTCAGGATTTTGGAAAAAGTTGTCTGTTGCAACATCTAACTTCCAGTCATTTTGAGACAGACAACTCACTGCTGTCTTTTCACTAGATTGTGTGAAGACCATAAACTGACGCACTTTATCCTTCTGTGATGATTTCAACTTGTTCTAGTAAAAACAGACAATACAGTAACCAGAAGTGTTTTAGTAGACAATTAAAAGCATCAGTACTGTTAATATTTTTAAATCAGTACCTTCTATAATTTTCCCAAGCAATTAGACTTTCTCTAACTGCTGGGGCAGTTAGACACTCAACCCTACACTTATTTGTCTTTTTTTTTCTTTTTAAGTTAAGTTTAACTTCATTCTACGTATTTTACATTGTAACAAAACTGAGTTAAATCATCACAAAAACCATGCTGGCAAAGCAATCACAGAAATAAAAAATGGGTATTCTTATTGCATATTTGAGAGGTCACTGAAGGGCATATCAAATTCATATACAGCTGTAAGATGCAACACCTTTCTAGTTAAACCAACGTTTGGTTTTTAAAAAAAAGAAAAAAGCATTCTTGTCTTAAGAGAAGAATGCTGCACCTACCAAAAAAGCACAATTGAGATGCCTAAATCGAGGCCATGGCTATCAAGATACTTGACAGATTAACAGCCTCACCAGATGCAGCAGAAAGGCCATTCAATAGCTTGCCATCACTGAACGAGAGCCTGGCATTCACTTAGTCGCAGCTAACTGAACTAACAGAAATACCAGCTAGTGCAGGACCAGGCGCAAGACCACGCTGCCAGGAACAGGATCTCTTGATGTGCCTCTTGATGGCAGCAAGGAACTACGCTTGGTCATCCATTGCAGGGAGCTACACACTGAAGTATCTTAAGAGACTTTTTTTTTTCTTTTTTTTAGATTTTTCACTTTGAAGGTGCTCAACTCCACCCACATAATTTGCCAAGCATTCCTGTGAAGAAGGCATTGTCTCCATTTCACAGGTGCAGCAACTGAAGCTAAAACAAAACAAAAAACCCAACAAAAAAAAAAAAGGTAAGTAATTTTGCCAGAGGCAGGCGGGGGAGTGAGTAGCCAAGGTGAGAGCTCTGGAATTTCAGGCTTCCTGCCCAGACCAAGAGACATCCCTCTCTGCTCCAGCACAAAACTGAACGGAGAACTTGCTGCCAGTAATTCAGCAACATAGAGTGATTCCCAAGGATATTTTTGATGAGGAGAAGCACACTTGGTATTTCAAGAGTATTAGTTACACAAAACTAACTGCTGATTGGAAGAAAGCAATCATACAGCTCTTGCACCAAAGCCAAATTCAGTTCTAAAGTTGAAAGCAAAAGGACCCCTAACGTTACAACTTGGTAAATAAAAGTTCTGACTTTTAAGTCAGGATTGGATTTCTTACATGGCATGACTATTTCATTTGTAGTTTACCTTGCATTCTAACTAAAATTTGTATATTCTGTTTATTATTGTAATTTCCAAGTGCACAGCTCCTCTGGGAATATGGACAAAAAAGGCCAAAAAAAATCTCAAGATGCGATAAACTATCCTCAGCCACAGAATGAATGGTTTAGGAGCAGTATGAGCTCAAGCTCTTCATTCCAAAGGATAACTAGTGTCCAATCACATTATCATTAGAAAAAAACCTAGTGCTTCAGAACACAAATTCATCTGCCCTAAAAGTCAAAATCAGTTTGATGCTGCTTGATGACATTCAGTGAATGTGAATACAATTATTCATAAGAGTAGCTATGTTACCAGCTTCAGAGTTACACCTTTAAAAAAAAAAATACATATAAGAGCATCATCATATTTGGCTTAAACTGATACCCACATAATATACTACAAACCAATACCCTTTAATTTGTCTTTTAAAAAAATTATAATCTCCCCCCCAAAACCAAAACAACCCTACATCTACGACGCTTAGCTGAAGCCAAAATTTAACACATGCTACAAGCTTAAACACAGTGATATTAGTTAGGCTATACTATTTTTAAAGTTACAATGTGTTGCTGCTTTATTTCAGTCTCTTGAATAAGTTTCTCACATTGGACCTTTTGCTACAAACATGTCTCTCAAACTCAGATTTGGTTCCAGGCAAAGGTCAAGCCATCAGAGCAGGTCCTGCAAAGATCCACTGCTGACAACTTGTGAATGCTTTGAATTTCACAGCGGACCTTCAGCACCTTACAATACTGAGCTCAAACTTTCACAAAAATCACACGCTGACAAAGCCATGTGGAATGCATTTTCAGTTCCGGTTTTTAAAAATATATTGTAAACTCAGATATAGTAAAACAAACAATTGAATGAAATGAAGATGAAATAATCCCAAGGCTAATTTTCAGTATCAATTACCAGCTTTCTCAAATCAGTTCCGCACAGCCAGACTGTTGCACCACCACAGACTCAGCTGCACTATAGAGCAGAGTCACACTTAGGACCTTAGCCTTGCTTTTTTTTAATAAAGTGCCTTTATTCACTAGGTTTTTTGTTTGTTCTTTTTAATATGTACACATAAGTATGCATAGCCTTTTCAGTAGCAAGTATTCTGTAAAACCTCAGGAGGCTTTCTTCTGCCCTACTCTTGCAAGAGTAAGCTCCAAATGCAATGACATACAACAAAAAGTCAAGGAACAGGTTTACAAGGGCTTCACCATGGATGCCCAAGACCAGAAAAGGTAGTGGGTTTTGTGCATTGTCACATAAAAGTAGAATGTAATGTATTCGATTAAAAAAAAAAATTGCAGTTAAATCACTTTTATGATAAAATTTAAATCCTGTATATGCACATGAGATCATCTTGTGCTTGGGGCTCCCGAAGTGATAGTAACAATATAAAACCTTTTTAAAAAGAACACTGGATTTGTCAAGAGTCAAGCAGCTAATGACACGAATCAGTATAGCATTCAGTTGTATATTAAGATGCATTAAATCACACTGTTCAGCCATAATCTTCTTCCAGAATAACTATATTTTTACTGGTCAAATACAAGTTTATTTTTAGTGAAGAAGCACCAAAGCCCTTTCTTTATATTTGATGAATGTTTCCACAGAAGCTTGCCAATGTGGATGAGACACACCACATCCTAAGTGACTGGACAACTCTTTGAAGGCCTGCTACAGGACAGCAAGAGATGAAATTATTGCTGAGTTTTTATTATCCTATTATAGCTCTTCTTTCATCACATTAAAAACCCACACTTCAAGCAGGAACAGGTTCTAAGCCTTCTGCACTTTTAAGAGCTATTTCTAGAAGCCGAGCTCTAACAGTCTATTATTGTTTTAAGTGTGCAATACAGAAGCCAGAGCACCCTATAACCTTTAATCCTGTAGTCATCAGGCAAAAAATAACTTACACTGCAATTGTATGTAATTATTGCTGTAATGCAATGCAATCCTTTTAAAATATCTGTGGTGGGTTGACTATGGCTGGACACCAGGTGCCCACCAAGCTGCTCTATCACTCAGCAGGACAGGGGGAGAAAATAAGATGGAAAAACACTTGTGGATCAAGATAAAGGCAGTTCAATAAAACAAAAGTAAAGGAAAACAGAATATTTATTCTCTACTTCCCATCAGCAGACGATGTCCAGCCACTTGCCAGGAAGCAGGACTTCAGTATGTGTAGTGGTTGCTCCAGAAGACAAATGTAAATAACGAATGCGCTCCCTTCCTCCTCCTTTCTTTAAGCTTTTATTGCTGAGCAGATGTCATATGGGATGGAATATCCCTTTGGTCAGTCGGGGTCAGCTCTCCTGGCTGTGTCCCCTCCCAAGATCTCGCCTGCCCCCAGCCCACTGGTGAGGGGGGAATGTTGGAGGGACAGCCTTGATGCTGTGCCAGCACTGCTCAGGAGTAGCCACAACACTGGTGTGTTATCAACACCTTGCTGGCTAAGGATACGCAGCACTGTGAGGGCTGCTCTGGGGAAAATTGACTCCATCTGAGCCAGACCAAACACAGTATCTCAACTTTAATGCTAGTTAAAAGGGAAGACAGATTTTTATTTATCTTTCTTCCTAAAATATACATGTGAAAACCAATAGAAAACAAATGCAACAAATTTTCTAGAAAGTCTTACCCCTTGGGGTAAGGGGAAAAGGAAAAATTCAGATTGGCAAGCCTTTGATGAAGTTTGTGTGGAATCCAAGCTACCTTTTATAATGAGTATGTCATAAGAGACAGGAGGTGAACTTACTTTTAAAACATAGAGTAACTTCTCTAAGTGAAAATCTACATTGTGTAGATTCTTAAAACTATAATAATCAAACCTTTCCAATGAACATCTGATGATATAATATTAAATATATTTAAAATGAAAATTTGCCTCTCCCTATCAAGTACCAAATTTGATAATTCTAATTCAATAACCCATCCTTGACAGTGACTAGTATGTGATACTTTGGTGAAAGATTAAAAAATAAAAATTAAAAAAATACTTTGGCTTTTTTTCCCCAAGTGGTTTTTTTTTCCTGGCCTCAAAATGAAATTCTTCCTGTCTAGGGGAGTAAGCTTTCCCAGTTTAGGGAAAAAAAAAAAAAAAAAAAAAGAATGCTGGAACCGATCTGCCAAGTCTGGCTATATGGTTGTTTTTCCTTATCTTCTACATTCAATTTTTAGTCACATCAGATTCAAAGATCGGCTCTGCACCCTGGTCATCAACATTTTCTGGATAGCTAATAGCTGTATGAGGGCTCCACTCTCCTGGGTAACATCCATGGGAAACAATAACAACCTTCGTCCCACACTGCTGGGACTGGAGAGCTGAGGATGCCTACCAAAACCCTGTTCTTGGACTTTGCTCAAAGGTTATATGCAGCTATCAGCTAGACAAGCAGTGCACCATCAGTTCGAAGTATCCCTGCCGGAAATTCCTTATGGCCCCCAAAGCAGGCATTCGCACAGTAACTCCTTAATGAGTAACTGCTTTTCACCTTTCCCTTCCCAGCCGCTGCTTACAGATGATCTGATTCCTGCTAGTTTCACTGCTAACGAAAGGAATTTTAGCGATGTGACATCTGTGCTTTTGTTTCAGTCAGAACTCAAAGAAAAGCCTGTTAAGTTCTCATGCATGTGACAGGTAAAAGCCTTTTCTAAAATAGTATCAACCTCCACAAAGTCTAGGCTTTTATACTAACTGC